TTTCGCTGCTAAAGTGCAGAATCGCCCACTTATTTGTTTTTCGCTTTTTACAAACTAGCAGGTTGCTGTAGCAGAGTTGGTCGCCAATGTTTCGTCAAAAATTCGCCAAGTTACCATAATCTAAAAGATTCACCAAAATGACATATAGGGAGGAGAATTGCTTTTGTAATATGCCGTGCTTTTTCTTGTGTATTAAATTCTCCATTATTTATTTATTTATTTTTTGGCTGGTAGTCTAGATCATTCCGGATATTGGATATCCAGAATTTAGACTTTGTACTGTATCAGTTATATGTTCAGAAGTTTTGAGTAGTATGTATATTGTATTAAACATTAACATTGCATTGTTCAATTAACGTTTCTTTTTTTTAATTATACAGCTTGATACTAGGAGAGAGACTAGTAGTTCAGTCACAGAGAAGCTTAGAGAAAGTGCACAGCAAGCTGCAGACCAAATAAAGGTAACAAACTATTCATGGTGGTGGGGGAAACACCCTCCTTTAGTATAATTAAAATGTATGTATGATTTTATTAATATTTATATCACCTGTGTTATGTAGCCTGAAATCAGTCCTAGTACTGAAATTCATTACAGCAGTTGAAATCAGTTTCTGTAGACCATTTTTAGTTGAATTGACATTCTTAGCCACAGCTCACATACTCAAATTGGGTTTATTTCAAAACTTTTACATTTTTAATAGTTTTGTGGTAAGAAGAGAAGCAGGAAGCAGCCATTTAGTTAGGCTGAGATGCTGAAAGCAAGTGTGTAATTATTCAGTATGGAAGTTTAATCTAAGAGAAAGGTTTCAGTTCTAGAAATTTTGGGTTTAATTTCTGAATTAGTTACATTATTCTTGTGTAAATGATGGAAAGAGCAAGTACGCAAATTAAACTGAAGGGGCTACAGCAATATTAAATTAGAAGTTTGTTTTCAAATGTTTTTTATCTTATATATACACACACATGCACACACATATGTAAGATAAAAAATACGACGGAATTAACAAATTAAACTTAATTGGAACAAAGTAACAATATACCTTTAAATTTCTAATTTTAAATTTAAGCTTCCTTCCAAGGCATCAATAAAGCCTCCTTCAAGGCATCTGCATTTTCCCTACAGCAACTGCATTGCTGTAGACTTTTGCCCAATTGCTGCTTAGAATAAAAACAAAGTGTTCCGAGATTATAAATAGTGCTATCTACTTACTGCATTGCTCTTTTGCTGCTGTTCTGCCTAAGAAACTCATGTCTCTTTGCTAAGCTTCTTTTTCTATTATCTAAAATGTAAGTCGTGTATATAGATATTGTGGGGTGCCTTTAGAATACCTAGTGTTACACCAATTAAGCAAAACTGTAGTTCAGAAGAATTGTACCTGTTCATTGTTTCACCTGCTCCTGTTTTATGGCTATACTGTACTCGGCATTTTTATCCATGACATCAGGTATTACTGGAAAAATGCAAGCAATTAGCATTGTTAAAAATTTTGTCTATAAGCAGATATTATTTAGAGCAGGAGTTCCTAGTGAAGTCGGAACTGACACCCAGGTGTTGATGAAATGTTAAAGGGGATCAATTATGATCAAGGGGTCTGTTCAATGATCTAGTTTAATCATACTTGTAAACAAAATTCATGAGATCTACACACAAATGTTGTGGATTGTTTGTTTCATCCTTAAAGTTACTTCTCTTAACAGAAATCTGACACACAAAATGAGAACCTATACATATTCTACTCAGATGGAGACTCTTCCTATCCACCTCTTAAAGCACATATTGCATTAATCAACTTAACTGCTTTTGAATAACACAACTAGAGCACAAAACAATGGCAGCGACTTACAGCTTTTTTTCTCCTATTAGAAGCTGCCAATCTCTTCAAGTTGAACAATACTCAAACATTAGATCTTGGCATCACATCACAATTTCGCACACTGGATATAAACATTTTTTCTTTTTCCATACAGTGTTGCCGTTGCTCGCTTTGAAATCGTGAAGTTTGTTAATAAAAAATTCAATAAAGTGCTACAATATATGAAATTGCTAATTAAATAAATTTCAAATTCGGGCTTCGAGATGCCCATATTCGGTGGAGGATTATGTTATTCAAATTTGATGGCTCTACGTACCATTGTTTTATCACAATACGAGAAACATGCATACATTTATGCAGATTCTTCATTTTTTAATTTCTTTAAATATAACACATGGCGATAATATTTGGTGGCATTAATTTGAAAAGTGAAATGGACATTTAAAGTTTTGGTTCTTAAAATCAGTTGGTTAATTTTGGCTAAAGTTTGCAAATTGTCCTAAATTTTTTTACCCATCAGGTATTTCTTTTTTTTTTTTTTTTTACAACTGCCACTTTGTGAATTAGCATTTTGAAGGAATAGTTATGGATAATTCATTGGCAAATATGTGTTTTGATGGGTTAATATTTAAAGTCTTTCCAAAAATCTATTGTAAAGCAGTGTGATAATTAAGTTTCTAAGTAAGAAGTGAAATGTAAGCATTTTGAAATTATTTCTTTTTTTGTAAATCATGATTTTATAAACTATTATGTCAAAAACAACTTCCCTTTTTTTGGGATAAGAACTCTTTTGTCAAATGGTACTAAATTTGGCAAATTTACCAACATTTTAGCAATTTTAAGACCTATTCTGTGCAAAATTTTTTATTTGTACATTTTGTGAATTTTTTTTCGGCAATTTGTTTGTAACAAATGCAATAATGGATAAATATTAATGTTAATATATTAAAATTACATTTAAGAAATGATATTAAAATAAAACATTCTTGTTTTCCCGTCATATTATTAAGTGTTAATGGTGTTAGTTCTCGTCATATTATTAATGGGATAAATATCATTAAAATAACAATAATATATTAAATTTTTTTTAAAATATTAAAATAACTCATTCTTGTTTTCCTGTCATATTATTAAGTGACATTACTTTTTATTTTGGTGATTTTGAAATATTTCTAGTCTGAAAAATAAACAGCATAATAAATGCTTCCGAAAATTTTCTTAGCGAAAACAAAAATTGTGATTATTGTAAAATTAATATCATTTGTCTTCATTTATATTTTTTTCATGCAAGAGTTTTATCAATTGTCTCAGAATATTCAAATATATATCAGTATTCTCTGTAAAATTCACTTTACGCTTTTCTTCTGCAATTTTTTTTAACTCCCCTTTTTTTACAGAATTAGTAGGGATAATTTTTCTTTTGGATTTTAGACTTTTACTTTAGAAGTTAGGTGGATTCAAAGGCAAGATTTATTAACCTAAGATTCCTGAATAATGTGATGAAATGAAAAATATCCTCATGGTATTAACATGTAATGGACGTATTTTACAGGAAGTTTGTGATAAATTTCAGATCTTTCGGGTAATTTTTTGAAGAACAATGAAAACATAATTATTTGAATTTTCCGCCTTTCTACCCTAGAAGTCTTTCTTAATGCATTTATCTCTCGTTTATTTTCTTTTTTTCTAGACACAATCCTGGAAAAGTTCTAAAAGGTTTCTAATCTTGTAACATGACAAGCATGTATAGAAGGGAATTTTTCTATTAATAAAGAAACTGAAAACTGACAGCTTAAAAGAGTTATCATAATGTCTTAATACATCATGCATAAAGCAAGCACAAGTCATTTTACCTCTGTGCTAAATTCTGCTGCCCAGTGCCTGTCCTAAGGCACCTTATCATCCCTGGCACTTCAGCAGCTTATAAGAACCTTGCAGTATATTAACTGGGGTATAACTGCAACAACTATGTGCAATGCTTTGACACTGAGTCAGATGGAAAAAGTTTTTAACATCTGCCAACCATACCATTGTCAAATGTTCAGGTCTGTTCTGACCAGTGGGTTTTTATCTCTAGGCAAGCAGCAGCAGTGGCAACAACCAAGCTTCTGTTATGAATCATGTTGATTACGATTTTTGATTCCTCATTATTTTAACCTATGGCCGCTTGACATAAAATCTGTGTGCTATTTATAAAACCTCTGGACTGTGCAAGTACATGATGAAATGAGGCATAAAAGAAAGAACGAATATAAATGTTAGTAAATCAAATTCCATTAATCTTCTACGAGGGAAATTTAAATGTTTCAAGAAATTTTGTGATTAAATGCTAATTGGTAAGTTTTGCAGAGTTGATTTTATCCTCGAGTTTGTTTTATAATTAATTATATTTAATAATAGTGTGTCCCGCTTACAGATCTGTTTTATTCTTAGATTGGTAATATAAAAGTGAAGTTTGCGCATGGATAATTGCTTTAATATATTCAGTTTTAATCTGCTTATTGGTCCTTATATTTTTTCATTGATGATCCTTAAAAGTAATTAATTTACATGTGCAGAAATGTATACGAACCTTGAGACACAGTTGAAAAGAATTTCTATGTTAATTTAACACAGTTGTTCGTTATTTAAAAGGTTTGTATTTCCAGAGGAGGTATATTGTTAAATACAAGTCACTTCCAAAATTTAAAAGAAGATTTTAATGTACATTTCCAAGACATTAAAAATATGTATTCATAGAGCTGTTGAAACTATGCTATATCTGATCGTGGTATTATCATACAAGGAGAATTGATTGAACTGAAGGAGGATGTTCATGCACAATTCTTATTCAAAACACATGAGGATGCCAGTGTTTGAATTTAAGTCTTTAGCCAAACTCCAAGGCTTTTGTAAACTGAGGCTGATCAGTCACTTGAAAAGAATAATCCTGACTCGCATTTAAAAAAAAAAAAATTTTTTTTTTTTTTAATTCTTCAGTATTATTTAAACACCATTTGTGTAGCTTCATTCCACTATGCTCTAGAAGGTAGATTGACTGTGTCCATAACTCCCTGTTTCTTGTAATGTATTAGTTCCATTGATAAGCCATACATGTAACCGCACTTCATTATAGTCTTTGAGGCACAGGGAAATTCAGTCACTTCCTCTATTGCTGATTCAGGACCTTTCTCTCAAGGAATGGCACACCTCATTGTTCCTTATGAATACAGTCTTCAAATGATAAGTCTGCACAGTGTTGCCTATCCATTCTTTCCATAAAATTATTGCAGGTTTCTTTGGTTCAGTAAGTATTTATGTAATCATTTGTACATCAGCGCCTAATGCATAGTTATACTTCCAAAATCTTATAATAGATATTGAATTAAGTGATTTTCCATTAGTAGTAGCTGCTGATGCATTAAGCACAACACGAAGCTTGATAGAGGTTTTCTCCAGATAATAAACTCTGTAATGACTGAGATAACTTCAGGTCGATGATTCAATTTCTTGAACTTCCATGTGATTGAAATCCTTATATTCTTTGATAAAATTCTTACACAAGGTTTTCATATTCAAATCGCTTGCTAGTTGATTCCACATTTGACGCAATCTTTACTCAGCAAACATTTTTGATTCTTCCAGTTCCATTCCTTCCCAAATGGATA